TTTATTACATAGTTTCAGTTTGGGTGGGGATTGGGAAATTACATCTCATGAACAAGTGTGCATGCATCATCCATTCACTTGACACTCTCTTGCACGCAGTTAGTAAATGGCAAACTGGTGAATCAGTCAAATTGACTACTCCTTGTAATGTGAAGGCTGAAGAATGCAATGAAAAGTGAGGATGCTTTCACAAAGTTTAACTGTGCAGACCTGTTGACTTCCCTGGCTTTTTTTTTTTTAAGTGTATGGGTTTGCTACGATGACGGTCTCCTTGTTCACAAAAGAAGGCCTATTCTCAGGAGGAAGATGCACCCTTTTATAATTCACTGATCAGATACTTTATTTTGATGGTCAGCATTATTCTTTTTGAATATAACTCTCATTACATGTCAACTAACTCTCATTAGAGTATTAGTAGACTGGTAGTGTTAGGGATAATAGACTAAGTTGACCTACACTCTTAGAAGAAATGGTTCTATTTCAGCCCATTCTCACCCCCAAGGCGTCACTTAACTGACGCCTTGGGAAGCATTTGGACATGCTTCAATATCTGACGCTTTAGGCGCCCTTTAGCGTCAGTTAGATGACGCCCTAGGATCGCGTGTACCCTACCCCCACCCCACACCTAAACCTAACCGCGTCCTCTAACTGACGCTTTCCTTTAGCGTCAGTTAGATGACGGCGTAGGATCGCGTCATGTAAGTGACGCTAAAGGGCGCCTAAAACGTCAAATATTGAAGCATGGTCAAAGGTGACGCCTTGGGGTGAGAATGCGTTGTCTATTTAGAACCAGAAATGGTTCCATTCCCCGCTTCATATATGGAACTCCAAAATGGCTCTATATACAACCATTTTTTTTTGGTAAAAGGTGCTATTGGCCAAGTATGGAACCCAAGGGTTCTATATGGAACCCTTTTTAAGAGTGTATAGAACCTTTTAGGGGTTCCAAATACGTAGCACTGATAGAACCTTTTAAGGTTCTATATAGAACCTTTTCTTCTAAGAGTGTAGTTTCAAAGGTACTTATAGTCAGTAGAATGTCTATTGGGGGAGAATCAGAATAAAGAGTTAGCAGATATTATACGCAGTCTACTATTTAATTCGTACGAATTTTACGAGGTGGCTAATTCGTAACAATTCGTACGACCTCACTCGTACGAATTAGTACGATTTAGCTGAATTCGTACGAATGACCTACCCCTGACCCCGCCCCTAAACATAACCGTCACGTGGGTTTAGACAAATCGTACAAATTTGTACGAGTGAGGTCGTATGAATTAGTACGAATTAGCCACTTTTGAATCACTCGTACGAATTCGTACGAATTGGTCGTGAGATAGGGTAGCAACATCGAATAAAGTGTTACCGCAAAATGTAAAAATTAAAATGTAATCTCTCCACAATGGGTGGGTCACCAGGTTTACTGTGTTATTCTTGATAGCTAATACATTATTTGACAGCTTTAAGACTGTTAATGATAGCAAAGTTTTAACAATAATAATTCCTTTATTTGTACATTTTATTTGTTAGTATACAGGTATTGGCTACTAAGGTGTTGTACTGACGCTACTGTATGAGAACAGATTTGCTTTAGATGAAATTAACAAATCAAATAATTGATTATCTTTTCAACGGAGCTGAATCGGCACTAATTGACTTCAGCCAAAATGCGTTGCAGTTTTCCTATTATCAGTAATATAAAGGTGACTTAACTATCAACAAAAAAATCATAAACATGATAGCACACCCAAATCACTCAGACATCTATTTGATGTATGCCTTTTAATCATCAAAATGGGAACATTTGAGAGAAAGTTATTAATCAGACTGCGTCAATCTGGTAGTATCAAGATGTTTATTGGATATATGGTGAAAAGAAATGCTTTCCGAAACCTGTAACAGGTTGAATACCTTTGAAACAATGTTAAAGTTGATAAATGTGTGGAATCTGAGGAATGATGAGGGTGGAGGACACAAGCAAAGAGATGCAGGTTTGATTTGAGACTCATACGGGAAAATGTTGAAAGGTTTTCAGTTTGGAGATCGGGAATTATGAGAAAATGTTTATGAAACTCATTCAGAGTTTTAAATTGCTTTAGACTTGAAATGGAACATGCAAAAAGCGCAAGACTTTGATTCCACTCAGTTTGCAAGCTCTGACAATGTCACACATTCATTTAAGAAACATATTTTAAGCAAATAGATTCTTTCTAAAAATATAATTTGTATGCATGACTTTAAAAACAGCCAAATGCCTTTATTCAAAAGAAGCTATAATTACGCCTGTTCATAGTTGGCTTATGTCATTTTGGGTTTCTGTTCAAAAGGGAGGGGCACACAAGCAGGTTAAACTGCCTTGCAGAAACCAGGTTCAATAAAATGATACATTGATATGTATCTCATGCTTAACACATTAGGAACTGCCCTTTAAACTATCCCAGCTTACAGAGCTAGTCAACTCAAACTCTGGTGTCAACTTTTCCTTTTCTGGACAGTCCTCATGTCTGAAACCTCACATTTATTATTTGCTAAGAGTTAAACATTTTAGCAGTGATAAAATGGACACTATGATTTTACCAATTTCAAAATGTCATTCAAAAACAAACAAACATACAAACAAACAAAAAACATATTAAAATGAAAGCATTTATAATACTTGTTAATGTGACTTTTTTTTTTTAAAGAATTGAGGCGGAACCTAAAAAGCTATAATTATAAGAGTCTTGTGACCATTCATTTTGAAGCTTTGGCATGAGGAAAAGCATTCTTGCCTATTTACCGAAAGTCACAAGGAAAATCTAAGAAAAATAAAGATGCAACAATTAAAAACAGCCACACAACCGACTGTAATAATACAATAACTTTTCTATTTTGTTATGATTTAAAGTGTAATTTCTATATAATTTACGGTATGTTTACACGACAACGATGTGTTTAAAACTGAGAAGAGTTTTCCACGTTCAGATGACACCATGATGATATGGATATATTATTTATTGGGTTTGCATTTATTATTTGATCCATATAGACATTTGTGTAGAATTTATATAAGAGCATCCAGAGATTACAAGAAGAGATGTTTGCGGTTAGCAAATTTTTACTCTGTTTTGGAACAACCAGTATGAGTCACACAGAAATGCATTTGCTGGACGAGCCAGTTGCGTAGTTTCCGACGTTTTGTTCAAGAACTTGAAAAACAACATTATTACCACACCTTTTGTTTCTTAAGACAAGTGACTCCTATATCATCCCGGACTGAAAAATACACACACACACACACACATAAATGACGCAGGGTAATGGGTTCTTAACGCAAACTGATGATATTTACAGCATTAACACACTTGACATAAGCTGGTTCGTCACATCTGCAGCCAATGAGCTTGCTGATCAATACATCAATGGCTGGTTACCATTCACTATAGCAGTTTGCAGCGTGCTTTCGGAGTTAAAAGTAAAAAACTAACCTAAAAACCTAAAACCTTCCAACTTCTCTAGCTCCACCTGTATAAATCTGCTATGGGTAATTGATATGTGCTATTTGTGCCACAGCAGTGTGTCGGCGTATGTGTTGGCTGTAGCAAGTTCCTGTTTACTTGCTCTGCAACAGCAATTCATCAGCATTCCACCATGATCAAATACACTAACATTGTCATATCAATTATCACGCTCAAAATCGTGTGAGAGTTGTCATGATAGAAACGTCATTGTTGCTTTTGAGAGGCCTCCAAGGGCATATCAGGAATGTCTAAAGCATATTAGGACATCTTACATCAGAAAGTGTGTTAATCAAGATATCAGCATTTCTTAATACGTTTAATGCAGTCTCATCCCAAGTCGTCATATAACTGACGTCTTGGGACGTCTTTTGACCATACGTCAACATCCGCCTTTTTAGGGTACCCTTAAACGTCGGTTAGATGACGTTATAGGATCATAACCCTACCCTAGACCTAAACCTACCCCCTCATACATTTCGATTTTTGGATTTTTGGAAGCAAGTGTCTATGATGTTTTTTTTGATACATTCTACAAAATAATCAGAATAGATGAGGCTATGATCTTCTTCTTGGATTGTACTGACTCAGATATAATTGATATCACTTTAAAGTTATTAATTCTTCTTGGGAAGTTTCATATTACATAAAGCTAAAGTAATGTCTATAACACCCTCCTTTAATTTCTTTTGTAATTGTGTTAAAAATATTCCATGACTCATTGAATTCAATCACTAGAAATAAAAAGTGCATAAAAACATCTCATATTTTGAAAAAAAAAAAAAAATAGTTTGTAGAATTTAATGTTTTACTCTGTACCTATATGTTTTACATAAGATCTGTATGTCTATGTCTGATGTAAGCTTTTATGAAAGTTGAATTTAAATAAAATTAAAAATAATAATAATAATAATCAGGACCCTGACCTATAACAATTCAGTTTATTTGTTTATAAAGCACTATTAAAACAACAGAGTATTGACTAAAGTACTGTAAATCAAAATATTCACCATATAAAAAATAGCAAAAGGGACGGAAAAAAACAGCAAGACACAAAATAGAGCTACTCAGACTAGAAAAAAAAGATACAGTTAAAAATTCAGTGTAACTACTGGGAATGAGGAGGTATCACCTTCTCAAAGTCAGTAAAAGAGAAAATGGCTTTACTTTCCGAAAGTGTTTTTGTGAACACATTTGAAAACTTTTATGGGGAAAAATGTTACTTTGGAAACATTAACTTCAGTCAAAGGTGTTGAAGTACATGAATTTTACTAAGTGATGGCACAGAGTACTATTGTGTGTCATTTTTATTCATTTATTTTATGGGTCAAAAACATGCAACATGTAGTCTGTCATCATGTAGGCCACCGTCACCAGGAAACAAAGCTATTATTTCGATACAGTTGTTAATCAAGTTTGTCAACAAACTCTTAACTGAACTCTCATTGGTCCATTCTTCTTAAGAAGAAAAAAACGGTCTCCCTTTAAATGCCATCGCACCTGTCTGCTGTGCTCTGTTAGAGGGGACCATTTAACGTAAGACAGGAACTTTCCTTGAAAAGCTTGCTATACGGAGTAACCGGGATTGCCTTTTCATCTAAAAAGTAAGTTTTTCGGTTGGTCTTTTGTATCCATGTGATAAAAAATACAAACATTATTATGTAGGCTAAGTGTGCACTTTTTTATTTATCTTAATGCACCCTTGAAAGGAGTGAGTAGAATATATTATGTTTTATTAAATAAACAAGTACTTGGTAAATATAACTGCATTTGTTTGGTGCTTATTCAGCTCTTGATACTTTTTGAAATTGTGACATCAAGATCACCAACCCTGTTGATTTTTTTCTCTCTATTTAATCTTGCATGAAGAAATGTTTGACTCTAGATCATCATACCTGTGTGCTTCATTTTTTTAGGCGTATTGCTGAAAGAAGATTACAATGGAGTGGAGGATTATTTTACCTGTCCTGTGTCTAATTGGTAAGGATCTAGAAGCGATACTTAATTGTACATTCCAAATCATTTTTTATCATTGCACTTGAATTACAAAAGACAGGGCTTATCTGAAACCAAAATGCTAAATAAAATCATTTTAACCACATGAAAGGTTAGTGAATATTCTAATTCTTTTCTAAAAAGTGATTTTCACAAGAACCCGTAAATTGATATTTAGTCTGTTGACAGCTGTCACAATGAAATCAAGTCAAGTCACTTTTATTTATAAAGGTGAAACTCGAAAAATTAGAATATTGTGCAAAAGTTCATTTTTAGTAATTCAACTTAAAAGGTGAAACTAATAAAGACTAAAAATTAGAATAGCCATGAACTTAGTGCTGCTGCTGGGCGGTTTGACCAAAAATTAATATTAGGCTACGTTTTTTTTTTTTTTTTTTTTTTTTTTTTTTCAAAATTAAGCCGGTTTTCCGGTTTATGGCAGTTTTTTTTTCCACAAAGCATTTAATATAATTGTTATTTCTTTTGTTTTTTTGTTTTTTCAAAATTAAGCCGGTTTTGTTTTGTTTTTTGTTTTTGTTTTTTTTTTCAAAATTAAGCCGGTTTTCCGGTTTATGGCAGTTTTTTTTCCACAAAGCATTTAATATAATTGTTATTTCTTAACATTCTAATAACATTTTTATAACCAGGAAATAACTTTAAAATACAACGTTCATATAACGGGAGAATTAAACGTTCTAATGACGTATGATGAATAATGTTCTTATAGCCAAGCAAGTACATTAATTATACGTTTACATAACGGGAGAACTGGACTTATAACGTTTTGAATAACATTCTTAGAACCAAGAAATAATGTTAATACAACGTCTAAAAAACTGGACGTTTTGAATGTTGCTGGAACATTTAGAAATAACGTTTTTATACATTAATGGAAACGTTATGAAAACGTTCTTATAACCCAAAATTGTTATCTGGGGAAGAGGAGAGATTCGCGATTGCACTGAACACGTTTTATATGCAGGACTCTCTGAGTGAGCCCAGAGAAAACAGACCTATCCAGAGCAGCGTGTATCTGAAAGCGCTCGAGGATTACGATCTGATCTGCGCTCGAGGATTACATTAATGTAGCCTTTCGCGCTACTGTCGACAATTGACAGGAAAATAACGCCATAGTTCTGCAGCATCCATCTTCCCTGTAACGTAACACCAGAGCACTGCTGTATATAGATATCATAGAGACTAGATGCCCTGGCCGCTGGGCACTCCGAAATCCGGCCGCCATTTTGAACCGGTCGTATTCCTATTGTGTTGTATAGCAGCAGTAACGTTAGATGCCAGAGCACTGTGCTCCATATTCCTGCTCAAATCGGCGGACTATCGATCGGGAATTACTTTCCACAAGTAAGATTTAACATTACTGTAACCAACTATTGGTTGTATTTTGTGAATAAAATGTCCCATGTGTCCTGTATCATAGCTACATGACCTTTGCAGCAAACCTCCCAACCCCACGGGGAAATCAGTTCGGTATTCAGTGAGATATGATTAATTAAATGCACTGACAGCTCATATCACCTGTCATTCAGATTACACTGTGTGGAGCGGAAAACCGGTTTAAAATGGCGGCCCCACATCTATCATGTGGCCTCGCCCAGTAGCACCTCATTGCAGTACACGATATCCAGGGGGCGGAGTCGGATCCAGATCTGAGGGGTGGAGTTGTGTAGGTTTAGGGGTGGGTTTAGAGATCAGGGGGTGGAGCTGGGTAGGTTTAGGTAAGGTGGGAGGAATTGGATCTGGATCCGACTCCTCCCCTTGGATTTAATTTTATGCAGTTGGTGCTTAAAAGTGCAACATTGAAAACGGTCTATCAGAAACAGTTGCGTGGCCTGCGCGCGGTGCAGCGAATGAAATCAGTATGGCGATATATTAAAAATGAATATCATAACAAAAATATACACCGGTTTTCGGTATGAACCGGTATACCGCCCAGCACTACATGAACTCAATAAAAAAAAGATTTTAAATACAGAAATGACGGCCTTCGGAAAAGTAGGCTATAATCATGTATGTAGTCAGTACTTGGTTTTGGGCCTCGTTTGCATGAATTACTACCTCAAAGCGGCATGACATGGATGCTATCAGCAAAATATTAGAATATTTCTAGTTTCACCTGTATAGCGCTTTTAACAATATAGATTGTTTCAAATCAGCTTTACAGTGACAATAGGACATTAAAGTAACAAAGATTGTTTTGGTTTTATAGCAGCTCTAGAATAGCCTAATGTTATTTTCCAGCTAAAGTTAGTTTTGATTTATACACTTCCGTTACAAAGATCACTACTATTTATTAACTTAAAGGGATAGTTCACTTTGAAATTAATTTTTGATATGTTTTAGCTTACCTCAAAGGCATCCAAGATGTAGGCGTCTTTGTTTCCACAGTAGTTTCAATTATGATATTTTTAGGTCAAACCGTTTTTGTCTGTCAGTCATATAATGGTGGTCTATGGTCACCACCTCAAAGAGCATGCACAGAGAAGTCCAAATTAAACATGATTCAATGACTCGTAAATGTAAAAACACATTGATGGCGTAAGACACGAAACGAGCGGTTTGTGGGAGAAAACGAACAGTATTCGTTTTTACCTCTTGTAACCACAGCCACGTCCAAGCGATCTGAATTTGTCAGACTGCATGCTAAACTATGATGGTAAATCTTCAGCATTAATTATGAGACACTTTTGTTGAACTTTGTCCCTTTTTTTAATTTTACCCAAAGCAGCAATAACATCTCCAACATCAGTTATGAGTCAAACTACGGTGAACCAAACTGCTAAAGTTGCAAAGATCAATCTACGCTTCAGTATTGCTCAAGAATTCAATGAAAGCTACAGCGATCTCAATAATACTGACACCAAGAATCTGACAGCTAAGATCACCAATGAGGTAATATGTTTTTCTTATGATGCATGGATATTTGAACACACGTTTGATCTGAAAAACAGAAATGCTTGTATACAAGTAAAATTATATTTATATGATTATTTATCTGTGTTTTACAGTGTTCTAATGTTTTCAAAAGCCGGTTGCCAACATTCATCAGCATGGTCATTCAGAAGTTAAGGTAACAGTACATTCATTTGTAGTCATTACCAAATTCTCTGTTATTAACATAGATGGATATATCCATGATTTGTTCCCGACTGGTTTAGTTGATCAGTTTGTTAGTCACGTGACCATTTGATTGTTCAGTTTGATATTTCAGTTGTTTATTAATTATCTGACTGTGTTTCAACATGAAATCTCCACAGCAATGGCTCCATTGTGGTTGATTCTGTCCTCGACTTTAACACCACAAATGGCTCTGGTCCCAATGTGACACAAGTGAAAGACATCCTTGTTGAAGCTATCAGGAATTCAAGTTTCACCTTCAATATTACTAACACATCCATCAATGCTACTGAAATCCCAGAAGCCAGTGGTACGTGTATTTACAATTTAATTGTTTTCCTGTTACAGTAGATGTCTGTTACATTGTGAACCCTTTGCGAATGAAAGACATAGTCATAATCATTCTTGTTTGTTGATAAACACACAAACACACACACACAATCTTGAAGGAGATGCAAAATGCTGTCTTTGTGGTTGAGATTGATTGTATCTTGGTAAGTCCACAAAGTATTATTGAATTGTGACCCATTTTCCTTTTAATTCTGCCCCAAAAATGGAACAAAAGTGACTCCGACACAATCTACTACAGTTTAGGATTTATGTACAGAATCAGAGAGAGAGAGAATTCTAAAATATATATATATATTTTATGTATGGATTGCTTTCTCACCCGTCTGAATTTGTCAGCCTATCTATCTGCATGCTAAACTGTTTGTCCCTTTTTTTAATTTTACCCAAAACAGCAACAACATCTCCACCTCCAGTTACGACCCAAACAACACCTGCTAAAGTGGCAAAGATTAATCTAGCCTTCAGTATTACTCAAGCGTTCAAGGACATCTACAGCAATCTCAGTGATCCTGAGACCAAAATTCTGTCAAATAACATCACCAGTGTGGTAATCTTTTTTCTCTTATGAGGCATGGATGTTGATTGCAATAGCAGTAGACTCTGGTAATGTTGTTTATCGGCAATTAAAAATAGATACCACTCGTGATATACTTTATGCATTAACACGCTGAATAGTTTGCTAAGAAATTTGATCTGAAAAACAGAAATGCTTGTGCACGAGGAAAATTATATGTATGTGATTATTTATCTGTGTGTTACAGTTTACTCTAGTTTACAAGAGACGTTTTGCAAATTTCTTCCGCATGGACATTCAGAAGTTCAGGTAACAGAACATTCATTTGTAGTCATTACCAAATAGCCTGTTATTAACATAGATGGATATATCATGATTTGTTTGATCAGTGAACGCTTTCCCGACTGGTTTAGTTGATCAGTTTGTAAGTCACGTGACCATTTGATTGTTCAGTTTGATCTTTCAGTTGGTTGTTAATTATCTGACTGTGTATCTCCTCAGCCGGGGCTCTGTTGTGGTTGATTCTGTCCTCGAGTTTGACACCACGAATGTCTCTGCTCCCAATGCGACGCAAGTGAAAGACATCCTTGTTGCAGCTATCAAGAATGAAAATTTAACTTTACAAATTAATGAGTCATCCATCAGTGCTACTGAGATCACAAATACCAATGGTCAGTGTATTTACAAATTAATTGTTTTCCTGTTGCAGTAGATGTCTGTTACATTGTGAATCCTTTGTGAATGAAGGACATAGTCATAATCATTCTTGTTTGATGATAAACGATGCTGTCCTTGTGGTTGAGAATGAGTGTATCTTGGTAAGTCTACAAAGTATATTATTGAATTATGACCCATTTTCCTTTCAATTCTGCCCACAAAAGCGACTACGACTCCAGTGACTCCAGCCTCAGCAGCTTCTGCAGAATACAATATAACCTTCAAACTGAACGACCAATTTCAAACGGAGCTTTTAGATATGTCATCTAATGTAGCCACAAAGCTGGCAACAAACATCACCACTGAGGTAATTGTCTTGTCCTTTAAATAACGGTAATATTTTAGTTGAAAAACAATTTGAACGTTTCTCTAGTTTTTCAGTAATATCTCCTGAACTGTTTATTCATTTTTTTTTTATTATAGCTTAATGGATTTTACAGAGGTTTTAGGAACTTCAATCGCTCGAAGGTTTTGAAGTTCAGGTAAAATGTTATAAAATTCTAAATTCAGTCAATGCTCAATGCAATTTTTTTACTTTTTTTTACATGTGGTTGATTTAGTAGTTTAATGGTTAGTTGCTTATAAGTCATTATTACAGTTGTTGCATTACAGTTTTTCCATGTATTCATTTATGAACATTGTCCCCTCTCAGCAATGGCTCCATTGTGGTAGATGGTCAACTTGTATTTAACAATACTGTTGCTAATAATCCTACTGTGTTGGAGCTGGCTAAGGGTCTTGGTGCAGCTGTCAGAAATGGAACAGTCAAATTAACAATTGATCCAGCATCCATCAAAATTACAGATCCCAATGGAGTCTCTGGTCAGTGTACATTTATTTCTGTTTTCATGTAATGATTTATACATAATGTAGCAGCTCTAATAATATTCCTTGATAAATAAGTAATTTACAACATCCATACGGATCACGTCAACCCTTAGAGAAATATAAGTAACATGAAGAATGAGAGGAGTATGAGTAGTGTGGGCTGTTGTGTTTACAGTCAGCAAAAGCAAACTGGATGAATGAATGAATGAATGAATTCATTTTAGTAATTCATGGAAGTCCATAACGGGATTTTTAAGCTGTTGCCAAAGACTTTGTTTACTGGCTTAAATGATTAATTAATGTGTGAATTGTTAATAATACATTTATTTATTTATTTTTTACAGCTAGCCGGTCTCCAGTCCTGGCTAGTATGCTCACAGCTTTGTGGATGACTCTGGCGTCACTTCTTTTGTCAGCTGTGATGCACTAATCACAAAATCATGCTACTAAAACATGACTGTGACATCTCCGATATTTTTGGTCAAATCACAAAGCAAAACGAGTTCTAGAATCTATCTAGCTGTAACATTTACTGGTCTTTCTTGCCACATATAGAGTCTGGTGATACTAAAGGTATTTGTGAGTTATATGTTTTTGTCCTGTGCTTTACAAAAAGGACATTTTTCCTCTGTTCACTGCTGGAAAAATGAGGATCGGTTAAAGCCAAATCTGAACATTCCATACAAGTGGCAGTGTATTAGTTTGATGCTGAAGGATCTATTTTATAATTTTTTTTTTGTAACCAAGATAAACATGTGCAATCTATGTATTTAATCTTTGAGTAATAGAAATGAAGAAAAGGTTCTGATAAATCTGAACATTCCACTATGCCACAGAAAGGGCACAAGTGAAATGTATATATTTAAAGGTATAATAATGTGATTCGGAACTGACATTGTTTTTCTTCTTTTCAATAAAATATATCTTCCAATAAATGAATTAGATGCGGAGTTTCTATACAACAAAGGTACACATGAGCAATCTAATAGAAATGAAAAAAAATATTCTGATAAATAATCTGTATTATGTTGTATGAAAGTATGTTTAATAAAATGAAGGGTGAATCCTGTTTTTAATGTCATTTCATTCCTTCAAGTATACTTTATAAACAAATTTAAGGTTATTCATTCAACTTTGACTTAGATAAGCTGGGATCCAGGCTGTTCTCATATCATCGAAATTACTTTTTAAAAACATCAGATCACTCACAATTCTGTATAGCAAATACATCAAAACAGGACATTTACTGTCATGTAAATCTTTTATATTTATTTACAAAGATTTAAAAATCCTTAAATCTGCATACATCCAAATAACAGCAAAAGAATAACAATAATGCCTCTTGCTGGAAGCAACAGGTATCGCACTCTAAAATAACTATCAAAATAAAAGTTCCACAATAAAAGTCTTCTTTCGTCGGGAGCCTTTTATACACCTTTTATAGCCTACTCTCAGTCTTTACATGTTTCTCATGTTTTTTCAATAGAATTCATAAAGGTATAGAATATTATAGCATATTTCTAATAGGAGCACATTATAACTCAGTGTTAGCCCCAACATGGGGTTTAAATCCTGTTAGAGTAGCGAAGCATAGAATTATATCAACTGTTAAACAACAGATTGGAGATTCAAAATATATCAGATTTGTCTAATTTTAAATAAACACACAAAAAATAGAGATGAAAAATTAAGTTAAATAAGAAATGTATTTTTGCAACGGTTAAATAAATGTTCAGTGATATCTTACAAAGATTTCTGAATTCAGGCTCGGAATTTCACGTGATTTTGCTTTCCTTTTCCGATCATCATCAATAAATTCATCTCACTAATCGCGGAAGAATAACAACAAACATAACTTTCGTTTCGTGGGAACTCGCTTAATAGTCGAGAACTTGCTTATCAGTCTAGCAGTCACTCTCGTTTTCGATTTAGCCTCTTCAGAGAGCGTGTTGTTCTGTCCACGGATTTGAGTCTGTCTGAAGGTTTCATCCATCAGATCTGATGTGAACATGTTCTGCTACTGGGGAGCGCAGGTCAGAGAGGGCTTCGGTCTCTTACAGCCTGACAAAGTCAAACATGGCAAATGTGGAATACGATCCGTGTGTCCGAAATCAGCAGTTCAGGACATGTCAGCTGGAAGGAGTTTTGTTGGATTCATCAGGAATGGGAAGGTCTCGGTCCTGAAATTGCGCGGTGAAAACTGTGATCAGGATGGAAAACTAAGTACATACTAAATTACACCATTTTCATTCATATGGCTGACATCATAATACGAAACAACAGAAGAAAGTCTTGAATCTTTTATTTTCATTTAAAGTAGCCTAACTGTGTAATATTTGTGATTTGGTAATTGATAATTATTTAGGCCAAAGTGTCTGTAGGTACGCTTCTGAACAGAAGTTGAATTGATAAAAATATAATTTACTCCAGAGCAACCACAGCTGAAGAATGACAGAATCATATTCACATCGATTGTCTGTGGAGGAGCTGGTGCGGTTCTTCTTGCTGATGGAGGAAATGTTCTCATTATGGACAAATCTACCGTGTGCAGGTATGTTTATGTAGGCATAAGAGTATAAATTACCATGAATTACAATAATGTGTCTGAGAGATTGTCTTTTCTCTGCAGTCCTCTTAAAGGTCTGGAAAATAGGCAGGTGATTCAGATCGCGTGTGGAGACCAGCATTCAATGGCACTAACCAGGGGTATTCACAACCATTTCATATCATATCTGTTTAATCTTTTAACATCTTATGGTTGATATAAAGTTATTTGCATTTGAGTGTAGATATGCAGAGCTGTTGTTGGTCTTTCAGATGGTCAGCTGTTTGTATGGGGTGATAACACTCACGGTCAGCTGGGTTTGGAGAAAGAACAGCCCAGGTCTCTGTCAGCTCAACGTGTGGAGGGTCTGAGTGGGATCCCACTGGCTCAGATCAGTGCTGGGGGAGACCACAGCTTTGTGTTGTCTCTCTCTGGAGTCGTGTTCGGATGGGGGAAGAACTCGGCTGGACAGCTGGGTCTCGGAGACACTACAGGTCTGAATATTTCCTCATGTAACTATCAGTAATGGTATAAAAGCACATACAATTGTACTGCATTTGTGTAATACTGTGTCAAATCCATATGAAAGCATTGGAAGTGATGAATTTACTGTTTTTCCACCACAGACAGACGCGTCCCAACGGTTGTAAATAGTCTGAACCGAAAGAAGACTGTGTCCATCTCATGTGGAGGGGAACACACTGCCACTTTATCAAAGGTAGTATTTCATAATATTTTAGATATCCATATTATGAATAATACCATATTTAGCATAACAAACTGGACAGAAAATGTAATTAAAGGACTAGTTCACTTTAAAAAAAACTTTTGCTGATATTTTACTCACCCCCATGTCATTCAAGATGTCCATGTCTTTCTTTCTTCAGTCGAAAAGAAATTAAGGTTTTTGATGAAAAGATTCCAGGATTTTTCTCCATATGGACTTCAATGGGGTCCAAAAGACAGTTTCAGTGCAAACTGCAAACTGTTCAAGGGGCTTTAAATGATTCCAGACAATGAATAAGGGTCTTATCAAAATGAACAAATCTTTTCTCGAGTCAATTCGTTCATTTCGTTCGCTGAATGAACCAAATGACACGAAAAAAGATTTGTTCATTTTGATAAACGAGTTCGAACAGGAGAGTCACGAACGCGCATCACAGAACAGAGCAAGGTGAGCCTTTGTGCTTATAAAACTTAAACTTTGTTATTTATTTATTAAATGAGTGATCGTTTCGCTTGATAAGACCCTTATTCATCGTCTGGAATTGTTTAAAGCCCATTGAAGCTGTACTGAAACTGTCTTTCGGACCTTGAACCGTTTGGTTCCCATTGAAGTCCATTATATGGAGAAAAATCCTGGAATGTTTTCATCAAAAACCTTAATTTCTTTTCGACTGAAGAAAGAACGACATGGACATCTTGGATGACATGGGGGTGAGTAAATTATCAGCAAACGTTTTTTTTTTTTTAAGTGAACTACTCCTTTAATTGTTCATGTTACAGGGTGGCACAGTATTCACATTTGGATCTGGAGGTTTTGGCCAGCTTGGGCACAACTCATATAAAGACGAACATCATCCGCGGGTCGTTGCTGAACTGTGGGGATCTAAAGTGTCCCAGGTCACATGTGGAAGGTAAACTAGACTTTTAATAAGCAATCAGTTGTTTCAATGCAGTAGTGCAGATTTATTGACATCAGCATAGTAATTAGGCAATTGATTCTTTCTTGAATAAAGACGTCACACACTCGTATCAGTCGAATCGTCAAAGCTGATCTATTCATTTGGATGTGGGATGCAAGGGAAGCTGGGAAATGGAGAAATGATCAAGCAGTCTGTGCCTTTCCCTGTGGATCTCTCAACTGGTAATTAAATCATGTTTTAGCAATTGTCTATTTCCTTTTGTACTTTTGTTATCATGATGTTGCTAAACTAAACTACATTTTTGTTGCACACAGAATGTGATCATATGATTAAAAAACTGATTGCTGGGGAGAATCATTCCTTTACCTTGTTTTTCAAGGTTAGAGTTTTCATTCACAAATGGTTTAACAGTTAAATGCTCTTATGTGATTACTTATGCTTTTTATGTGATATAGGAACCTGGGAATGAGTCTAAACCAAATCCAGGCAGAGGGATTTTGACATTAGACGACAGAATGATTGAGCGATGGGTGTCTGGAACTGATTCAGGGAAAGTGATAAAGAAGTGAGTGTTAAGTCGTTTTAACGTCAGTGCTTCCTTTCAGATACTAATGCTTAAAGGGATACTCCACTTTTTTTGGAAATAGGCTCATTTTACAACTCCCCCAGAGTTAAACTGTTAAGTTTTACCGTTTTTGAATCCATTCAGCCGATTTTTTGATATTTAGAAGAATATCAGTAACCAGACAGTTTCTGGTCTCATTAGCCGCGTTTCCACTGCCGGGCTAGGGCTGGGCCAGAGCTAACAGCGAGCCGGGCCGAGCTGGCCTCGGGCCTCAAGCACCGGGCTTGCGTTTCCACTGCCGGGCCAGTAGCCCCACAGCGCTGCCCCAGACCCCACCCCTAACACGCCTTTCAGGATCAAACGTCATAAAACCCAACACATTTCAGCGGGTATTATGAATTAATTTATTTTTTAAATTAGGAAGATAGCATGTATATTAACTCAACTGCCGTAGTGGCTGCAATAGTGTCCCAAGACCAGTACAGGCGATTCTCCATTTCAAGCAGCGATTTTTTGCGCGATATAACAAGTAGGGCTGCGGGCACGTTTTCAACCGAGGCCCATCGGTTAATACTCGGTGCATAGTGTGCGCGCCGCAACCTCGAGATACGGAGTTAATTTTTTAACACCTTTAATAACTGATTGGACCCCATTTGAAACGAAATTAATTTATAGAAATAAAACGCAGCAAGTACGGAGCAGTTAAAGCCCCATTTCCATCACCCTTCAAACTGAAATTGCCAATTGAAAATAAGCAAAACGTCCATTTCACAAAAACTCCGTGTCTGCAAATAATAATAATAATAATAACCATCATCATCATTATTGTAACATTTTATTAGGCTGCATATGTAGAAGACGCCTTTATCCAAAAAAGGAATAGAGCACAAATAAACACAATATTTTTGACAAATATCAGCGCATAGCCTATCCAGTGTGTGTGGAGCATGCACTGATGGCTGCGAGACGCCCATGTGAACAGTTTCATTGCATTTCTTTCAGTGGAAACAACTTAAAATACTCTTTCATTTCTGGTCATACAGAAAATAATAATACATTATTCGCAAATAAATTTATTTATAACAAGAAAACGTTGTGCTTTAACAATTAATCAAGGCGCGCTTCATGATCTCCGTGAACTGAAGCGCGAGACCTGAAACAGCCACCGCATTCGAATTTGTTCGTTTTAAATTGGACATTTAAAGCTTTAAATGTCCAATTTAAAACGAACAAATTCGAATCGAAAGCCAATATCTTCTATGTTTATGTAGCTTAATTTCTCTCTAAATGTGCATCCGGAGATGGAGATATGTTT